GGCATACATCCGTGGTCTAGCACCCTTTGTTTTCCTGGTTCCTCGTCTGTGTCTGCCGTGCCGTTAGGGCCCCCAATGGCGTTGGGCCCCGACTATCTCCTATTTCCGGGTCGAGCAGGCATTATGGTGAATCAGTGGCTCAAATTTGACTTCGCTCTGACCTTAGACCGCAGCGTCAAGCCACTCGTGATGGCTCTTCCCCCCTTGTCCCGTGCCCTGATGGCCGAGTGATTCATGCCATCAGCTTCTGGCGTCCTCAGCTTACTCAAGCAACCCGTGCCAGCACCGTTTGCTATTCGTCCATTGTACGAAATACTCCTTTTTCCTTATTTCTCGCGGGACGCGACGATCCCGCCCGAGAGCACTGCCATCATGGCTGCCTGCCAGTCGAGGTGACGAGCGGGCAGACTCAGATTTCTTGCATGCGGAGACAAGAACAAACAAACAACAATGTTCCATGGCCAACAACCTTACTCGATGGAGACGTTCATCCACCCTCTTGTCAGATCCAGGGTCGACTCCACTTCCTGTTGATGAGCGAACGACACCATCTTTCTATCCTCTAGCCCTAAGCTTAAACAGCCTAAATCAATGTTGTTGTTGACTTGTTCCACTCCAAGTTTTATCCTCCGCAAGTCGTCGGATATTGGCCCGCAAAAGTCCGCAGTACCGGTAGACAGTGGTCACCGGCAGGCGAAGCGGACACACGGCCGCCCTTTACAAATCAAATCAGGCCTCAGCATGCGAGGGCTATTCGTCCGAAGTGCGACGAGGCGCCCAGTGCCGTATCTTGTTCTGATGATGTGGCGCGCATCAGACGGGCAACAAGCGCAGCCTTATCCGTCTGCAGTCTTACGCCCCCTAAAAGAGAGTGCCAGTGAAACATCGAGCTATTCCCATGTGGACGCAAAGTCAACGAACCCAAGGCGCAATCCGCTCGCAAGCGCGCTCCAATTAGTCCACGGATCGACCCCAAAAAGTGCCGTCGGGTCTGACTCCCTCCGCCGCTTAACTCCCTTTCACGCAAACTCCGCCGAGCACCGTTCTTTCTTTGGGCGTCTCGGGGCAATTTGGGATGGATTACATTATGTCCCCCTTCTTTCTTCCACCGAGTCGGCGGAACCGGTACTGCAGCAGCTACCCTGCCCGCAGGAGCCCATCAGGATTATCAGGCAGGGGGTTTCTGGCAGCAGGTACCGTAAGATTCCTTTCTGCACGAGACTGGGGACTTGCGTAGGAGAGCCTCAGAAGAAGGGCAAGGGATGCTACGCGGACTTTTCGGAACATTCCAGATCTACGTCCAGTAAGCCGTGTAAGACTGAGATGAGGTGCTGCGCGGCAAGGCAAGGGGGGACTCATGCTCACAACCACACATTCACAACACGCGGCACGCGGGCGGAGATTGGATGTCGTGGTTACCAAGCAGCAACGCCCAAGTCTTGCTGATAGGCGCTCACCAGGCTCTCTCTCATTCTATCTCTCTACATCGGTCTTCGGTGTATACCCGTCGATAGGGCTTACCAATGACGCCGTCCCAACACACCCGGCCAAGACTCACACGCACACACACACCCACACCATATTCGTGTTGTACTGTCGTACCGTCCCGGCCTAACGCATCCTTCGTAAATCGGTTTCCCACCATCCACCGCGCCGGGTCTAACATCCCCATTACCGTTATGCTATTGTAACACGGTACCCAAGGCTTAGGTATTGCACCATACACGATGAGCCATCGCGTCAAAAATGTCTCCGCCGTGTGAGATGGGATGTGCGCAGCGGAGGATTGGCCCGCCGTCAGCTTGCTCTTTCTGCATCCAGAGAGTGAGCATCCCAAGGTACTTCCATCTCTTCCCACTACTGTCGCTCGTCCGGGCGCCGGGTTCAACGTGCCCCCAAAGTCCGGTCTAAAATCGGTGCTCTTTCTGTCCATGGCATTTCTTTCACATACATAAAGCCTCCCGGTCTCCCCCCCCGGATTCCCGTCTCGGTCCATCTTGTGGCACGCACTCCAGAGACATTCAACCTTAACCTCGACAAGCTCGACGTCTCTCTCGGCCGAGAATCCAGCAACTAAGGATCGCCATTCAAATCGAACTTCATTACACGCCGAGCATCCATCGAGACTACCGTCGCAATGACGTCCACAACCAGCACCCTGGTAACCCCCCGGGACCGCTCACAGCGGGTGGGAAGTGACAAGGAGGGAGATACCACCAGCCCATCACCATCAGTCCTCGCCGGGGAGGGCACCGTTGAAAAGAAGGAGGAAGCCGGCACCGGGACCGATGAGGAAGCCGGTGAGGTGCAGCCTCAGGAGCCGGCCAACGCCGAGTATCCCTCCGGATTCGCCCTGGGCCTCATCGTCTTCGCCCTCGTTCTCAGCATTTTCCTCATCGCCCTTGATATGACGATTGTGGCAACCGCCATCCCGAAGATCACCGACGAATTCAAGGGTCTCGACCAAGTATCGTGGTACGGCGCTGCCTTCTTCATGTGTGTTGCCGCCTTCCAGTCAACATGTAAGTTCCAATGCCCCCAACAGCATCCTCTCTCCCTGAGTCTCACGGTACTAACGATATGACAGGGGGCAAGGCTTACAAGTACTTCCCACTCAAGTGGTCGTTTCTCCTTTCCATCTTCATCTTTGAACTTGGCAGTCTCATCTGCGCCGTCGCCCCTAACTCCGTTGCTCTGATCGTCGGCCGTGCCATTGCAGGTGTAGGCGCAGCAGGTATCGGCTCCGGAGCTTACACGATCATCGGCTTCTCGGCCCCGCCCGACAAACGCCCGACGTTCACCGGCATCATCGGTGCCTCCTACGGATTGGCTTCAGTCATCGGCCCCCTGATCGGTGGTGCATTCACTGACCACGTGAGCTGGAGATGGTGCTTCTACATCAACTTGCCCGTCGGAGGTCTCGGCGCGGCCATCATCCTCTTCTTCTTCCACACCCCACCCCAAGCCGTTCCTCAGAAAGCTAGTGCCCTCGAGAAGTTCCTCCAGATGGACCTAATCGGCACCTCCCTGATCATGGGCGGCACCATCGCCTTCCTTCTCGCCCTCCAGTGGGGTGGAAGCACTCACCCGTGGAACTCATCCACCATCATCGGCCTCTTTGTTGGATTCGGGCTGATCATTGTCGCGTTCATCGTCCTGGAATGGTACCAGGGTGAGCGTTCCATGATTGCGCCTCGCCTCATCAAGGACCGGACCATCTACATCTCTTCGGCATACGCCTTCTTCTTCGCCGGCTCATATTTCGTGCTGGTCTACTACCTCCCGATCTACTTCCAGTCCGTCGATAACGCCACTCCCACGGAGTCCGGTGTGCGCAACTTGCCCATCATCATCGCCGTTACCATTGCCACGATTGCATCTGGTATCTCCATCTCGGCCACGGGTATCTACGCACCGATCATGGTTGTCGGCGGCGCCGTCGCGACGGTCGGTGCCGGCCTCCTGTACACCTTGGACATCGGCACGGGCAGTGACAAGTGGATCGGCTACCAGGTTGTCGCTGGTCTCGCCTGGGGCGCAGCGTTCCAGGTTCCCATCATCGCGGTCCAGGGTACAGTTTCCGAGACCGACATGGCGTCCTCTACCGCCATCCTGCTATGTAAGTAACCTCTCTACATCATCCACTACTCAAGGATCTTCCTCTAACAACCAACCCAGTCTTCCAAACCGTCGGCGGTGCCTTCTTCGTAGCAGGCGCGCAGTCAGGCTTCCTCGTCACCGTCCTCAAGAAGGTCGCGGTGTACGCCCCCAGCGTTGACCCTAACCTCGTTGCCCTGACCGGTGCCACCGAGATCCGCAACGCCTTCCCAGCGGATGCCGTCCCAGGCATCATCCACGCCTACATGGACGGTCTGAAGGTCACCTTCGCCATTGCCATCGCCGGCGCGGGTGTCTCATTCCTCATCTCCCTGGGCTCAAGATGGGGCAAGCTCAACACCGCGAACATCTCCGGTGCCGCTTAAAGAAGCGACACGAGCGGAGAGTAAACGTTTTGTGTGTTTTGATAGCTTGCATGTGTTTCCTGTCGTTTACAGATACCAATGTGCCAAATTGTCGGAGGACTTTTACATCTCTCTTAATCATAGACTCTAATGATGGGGGCGCTTCTTGCAAGAGGCGACGGCGTTACTTGGTTGCATTTTCCTGGAATCAGGGGGCCCTGAGCGGCATGCCCTATGACAGTCGCTTGGAAGGAACCAGCTCGACTCTTGATGGCTTATGAGAATAATATCTAGATGTAGAGAATACGAAAGGATGATATACATCAAATATGAAATCCCCTCGCGTTTGAACACATTGATGACTTGGCAAGAACAAGAAGGGAAGGGAGACCTGCGTCGAAGATTGCCGGCGGCGACATGCGACTGAGGCAGGACTAAACGAAGCAAGATCGAGTAGAGGAAAGTGAGAATAAGCGTGGACAGGCAAAGAATAGCAAAGGGCAATGGCGGAAGCCGCGTGTGGAACGGAAGGATATTGCCCATCACCACGAGCACTGATCACCCGGCCGTTCCTTGTTTCCAAATCTTGCTCGTTTTCGACGTGCGAAGAAGGCGATGTTTCCATCCATCAGCGAAGCTGAGCCTTCGTCGCTGCAGAATCCAGGATACACGGTCGGCTGTGGCGTTATGGTCACGACCAAGAGCCAGTCGCTCTCGAATGCCTCTTGCTTCACGCAAACACGACACTGAAGGCAGTCAATCTCGAATGACACCGGGCTGCCTCTACTCACCCCCGCCCACTTCAACCCACCAACTTCGTTTCTTCCGCAATATTCAGCCCGTGTTCAACGACTAAAGCTTTCCAGCTATTTGACTGCAAGGTCAACTTCGCGATTACTTTTAAAACCAGACCGTGCTTTTTGGGGTCTACCATTGATCGATTCTCCTCTATCCATCATCCATCTCAATCACCGTTCCACCTTACCCTTAACCTCCGTGGTCCTGTCCATTCGAGTATCACAACACAATTACCCCACCATGTCACATTTCGAGCCTGAAGACGACAATATATTCAGACACTTTTGCACCAGATGTAACGACGCCTGGGACCTCTATGCTGAAGGCAAACTTGACGAAGCCACTGCCATGGCTGAAGCTATACTCCGGGAGGAGCCGCAACCACTCTCTACTCACAAGGCCCTCTTGCACGTGCTCCTCTCTAGGTCTAAAGACAGTACCAAGGCTGTCCAGAACGCCCAAAAGGCAGTCGACCTCTATCGGTTTATCATGAGGGACAGCGAAGGGGCTTCCACGTCCTCAAATCACGTCAAGTTCCACATTGGAATCAACCTTAGGCGCGCGGAGGGAGATCTCCAGTTGCTCATCGACCAACAGCGACTGTAAGTCACCAAACCAGCATCTATTCTCCTCAACACTTTCCTTCTACTGACACTTTCTGCAGAGAGAGACTCTCCATGGTCAGCCTCGAGGATAAGCAGTCAGAGCCGGACGAGAGTCAAGACGAGGTCAAACAAGAAGACAATGACAGCCAAGAAGAGATGGATCTCGTGAGCCGAGTGCTTATGCAACTGCCACCCAAGGCGAGAAGCCCCACACCGACTCCCACACCGACTAGTCCGACTGTCAAAAGCGAGTCCTCCACGCCGTCATGATTGTGCTTACCTCTCTCCGCACCAGCCCGTTCACCTGCGACAACACCAGAAAGAAAGAATGGCCATGGAAAGAGATAGAAAGACCGCAAGAGATGTATTCCCGGCTAGGAAGCAATGAGGTCGTTTGGAAAAGATTCGTAAAGGCGAGAGCCTGGTCGCTCGGACAGTAGCCTTACGCTCACCATAGAGCTGAATTGATGAATTACTTAGCTTGCGATTTCTTTCAAGGCATCCAGCGTACAACTATAGTAACATGATCCTTTAACCTTTTCTTTCGTAGTTTAACGTCTGGATGCGCACGTTTTTGACTGCCATATTACTCTGACGGGGAAATATATTGGCTCCGTAGTAGAAGCTCATGCGGCGGTGGAAGCACTGCAGACATCTACGCCCCGGGAACGTACTCGCTGCAGAACATGAACGACAAGGCTGGTAGCTTCAAGTGTTACGAGAACTAGTCCGCTTCATATTCCAGAGAGTTGCCGAAGGAAGCATGGGGGGATTCTCGGTCTCGCAACACAGAGTAAGGGCACGCGAATAGCAGTGGCTCCGCTTGTTAGTCGAGAAATTTGAGACGAGACGAACGAGGATGGTATCAAAGATTGTGAATAACAGCCCGGCAGTACCACATTTACCATAAAGATCATGCAAAAAGCTCCTGCGTTCTCCGCTTGTTCTCTCCAGAAGCAGACACCCCCGGCACCGGCTCGACTACATACTCAACCTCCTTGTGAATACCCCTCACCGGCCGCAACTCCGTCTCGCTATCCAACACCGAGCCATCGCTCTCCCCGCCATTCAAGCGCTCCCCTCCCCTCTGCCACCGCCTGGACCTCAACGACATGCCCGAGCCGCCGATGGTTTGAACAGCGTACTTGGACGGCGCCTGCCGCGTCGCGTTGCGGTTCTTGCTCAGCAGGAACCGGAACGCGGGCAGCGTGGCGACGATGATGCTGACAGTGGACTCGACGTGGCTCCACATGCTCAGGAGCACTGGGCCGTTGGCGACGGTCGTCGGGTCTTTTGCGGTGTCGCTTGTGGCTTTGGTTACTTGCGCGAGGCGGACGAGGGCGAAGGCGATGATGATTGCGCCGAGGGAGAAGAGCACGACGAGGCCGAGTTTGTGGGTGCGGGATGTGGTGAGTTTGCGGAGGAGGTTGAGGGGGAGGATCATGACTTGTTGACGCGGTCTATGTTAGTTGATAATGCGAGGGATGGTGAGGGGTGGACTGACTGAAGATGTCGGCGGCGACGTCGGCGCTGGTTGCGAACTTGATGGAGGCATCGGCCCGTACGAGGTCTTCTGGGGCACTGCATCCAGCTGGGTTTTCGGGATGTCAGTGTGCTTCGCTGGTGATATTGAGGAATTATATGTGGCTTACTTGTGCTCCAGTACTTTTCCAAGGGCGTACAAGTCAAGAAGTTGGACAGCATGCACGCGAGATACAGCAACAGAACTACAGTAAAACACACCCACCACGCCCGGATGTAGTTGGGCAAACCGATGATGAGCCGCCGGACGAAAAAGAGGATTGAGAACTTGGCTACAGCTATGGTCAGCTTAATGTCGCCAGAGATATCGAGAACTCGAAAGATCGTACCAGCCCACAGTGTCGTCCAGAAGAGCAGCATCTGGGAAAACATCATCTTGAGCGATGCAACTGTCCTCGCCATGAACTCATCCACCGGTAATGGCAGAGGAGTCAATGGATCTTTGGCCGCAGCCTTGGTATACTCCCCAGACAGATAGAACTGCGGCAGCATGCTCGTAATGACAGCACTCAGAGCCGTCAACGTGGCAAGCCCGGCGAAGATGAAGTAGTCATCCACGTGAAGCCGTCGCTGCAGCATCCACTGAGAGGTGCCGCGGAAGATTGTCATGCCAAAGGCGACGAACCACGACACCCAGATGAGGATCTAGAGAAAATCGCATTAGCACCGTGTTTACCGAGCGACCGATGCAACGGAGGGTAAGACGGGCTCCGGAGATCAGCTACCGTGGTACCCGGGCGGGTCTTCGGAGAAGCGGGGGTCGCAATCGGGTTGTCTTACCATCATCTCGGTGAAGCCAAGCACTTGTGTCGCCATGATGCCAACCAGGTGAGCGCCGTCCGTCTCCCGGCGGCGCAGTTCGTGACCAGTATCGTTCGTCCCACAATGATGTCGGGAGGTGGCGTAGAAAAACGCTCGGAAGAGTGCGACGAACCGGACATATACACACACAGAGGAAAAGCCTCTCTACCCTTTGTCCTCCCATTTCGAATCCTCCCCGCTCCGACCTGCTAGATCAAGCCATCTGCGCCGGAACGCCACACGTCTCGTCTCCTGCAGACTCACAGGGAACAGAGAGCAGAAAAGACAAAAATTCCTTCAACGGCGGATAGACCGGCTGCAATCGAAGGGATCGCAACCGAGGCAGCTGTCACTTTCCCACGTTGAAGATGCTAGCCCGAGTCGAGCCGTGGGGGACGGGGGCATGCAAGGATGTCTTGGTGTTGACCGGGGTTGTCCGCCACCAACACCAGGAAACCTCATCTCGGGTCTGCGAGGGATGCAGACAGCGTGCCAATGAGAGCGTCGCCAGATGAAGCCACTACTGCAGGTTGCAGCCGACCATGGACATTCCTTCGCTAACGACATTTTGCTGCAGGTCCATGGGGACCCTGGATCGTCCCGGTGAGGTTTAATATATTTCGTTCGCCACGACGGGCAGGACGTGGGAAATCCATGATGAGAGATAAACCTGCTCCTGCAACCATCACAAGTCTGAGGGTTCTGCAACGTGAATCCTCCCTGCCAAGTCTGTCCGCTCGGTCGCAGTCATGGTTCGCGTGTCGTTTTTCGCGGCCGCTTTTGCAGCTTGCGCTTCGTTTCGCGGCGCCACAGCCGTTGAGGAAACGGCTGCCACGAGTTCAGCCGTCGTCGCTAGTCTGGCCGGCTCCGAGAAGGTTGCCTGCTCGGTGTTGAGCAAGAAGTACCCCGCGCAGACATTCTTCAACGGGTCTGATGGATATGCCTACGAGACACAGACGCAGTATTGGTCGGCGACGGCCTACAATAGCCCGGCATGCGTATTTGTCCCTCAGAATGCGCAGCAGGTCTCTTTCGCCGTCACGACTCTGACGTTGAGCTTGACCAAGTTCGCGGTCCGCAGCGGCGGACACATGCCGGTTGTGGGCTACAACAGCATTGGCTCCTCGGGCGTTCTGCTGTCGACCTCGAACCTCACCACGCTCGCCGTGTCTGATGACAAGGCGACCGTTTCCGTGGGCGCCGGACATAGGTGGAGAGACGTGTACTCCTACCTCCAGCCTTACGGCCTGGCGGTGGTCGGGGGTCGCATCGGCGGCGTCGGCGTCTCGGGTCTGCTTCTCGGCGGCGGCATCTCGTTCTACTCGAACCAGTACGGCTTCGCGGCCGACAACGTCGTGCGCTACCAGGCCGTCTTGGCCAGCGGTCTCGTCGTCGAAGCCACGGCGACCAACGCGTACTCAGATCTGTACTGGGCTCTCAAGGGCGGCGGCAACTCCTTCGCCATCGTCACTCGCTTCGACCTCAAGACCGTCACGTCGCCCAAGGTCTGGGTCGGCATCTCGCAGTACGCCCAGAGCGACAGCGCAAAGTACCTCGATGCCGTGTACAACTTTGGCAAGTATGGATCCGCAGACGGCAAGGCGGCCATCATCCCGACGATCCTGACCTATCCGTCGTACAACATTACTGCGTATGCCGCAGCGAGATTTTACGACTCTGAGACTGCGCCTGTCACCGCGTTTGAGAATTTCACCTCGCCTGTCCTTGCGCCCGTGGCCGACTCGTATGCTTTGCAGCCCCTCGCGGAGTACGTCAGCGCGGTTGATGCTCTTCAACCCACTGGACTTCGCCAAGAGCAAGTTGCCCCTCAGAGAATAACAAGAAAACCAGGCTAACACATCCACGCAGATTCCGCGTCTTGTCGCTAGTTGTCAATCGCGAGGCCGTTGACCTTGTCCATGACTCTTTCATCGCAGCCGCCACATCCAAGCTCTCGTCCATAGTTGGTCTTTCGGCGTCAATCACCTTCCAGCCCATCACCAAGGAGTTCATCGAGCAGGGCATCAGCCGCGGCGGGCCCAACCCGCAGGGCGTGGACCCTGTCAAGGCGCCGTACTTCTGGGTCGTCGAGAACCTGTCCTGGCAAGAGGCCAAGGACGACGCGGCGGCGCGCGGTTTCGCGGAGACCATCACTGCGGACATTGAGGCTGCTCTCGAGGCCAAGGGCGTATCTGGTGGGTATCTGTACCTGAACGACGCGGGTAAAGGCCAGCGCATCTTCCAGACTTATCCGGCTGTGAATCTTGCGAGACTCAAAGCCGTTCGAACAAAGTACGACCCACTCAGGATTTACACCAATCTCCTCGTCGGCGGCTGGAAGGTCCTGGATGCTTGAGGGTCAATGTCATGGTGTATATGGAATGAGGAACACATCCGTCAGTTGATATTCACCTGCACATACTTCGCGGTGTTGCCTGTACCTAGCTTAACGTAATAAGTCGTTGTAATCAGTAATGAAGAGATCTGCCTCGTTGAAGTTGCTCGCGGCCCTTCTCATCCGTTCGGAAATACAAAACATTCCAGCCATCTTTATGTCGTCGCATCAATACATCTTTGCAGAGAGATTTTGTGTCGCTGTTAATTGACCTTTTGAACTCCATTCTATTCAAATTCGCTCTAAATATCAGTAATATGCCATGCCATCTATGCGCCAGTAACCTTCACACTGCCATCCTCCATACCAAAGTACGCCGCGACCGGCTTCTGCGCGAGACCAAACTTGCCGGCCTGGGCCGCCTGCAGCCCGTTGAGGCCGTGGAAGATGCCGATCTCGACAATGCCGGGGATCAGCAGCAGCTCCTTGGCCAGCGCCGAGACTTCCCAGGCGCCAGCGGCGTTGCGGCTGGCGCCGGCCTCGACGTCCGAGGGCAGGAGGAGCTGGGGGAACGGCGCGTCGATGATCCACATGCCGTTGTCGGTGACGGCCTCGCCGGCCTTGGCGGGCAGACCCGGGCGGACGATGGGCTTGATGGAGCCGAGGTCCGTGAGGCGGTCCAGGACGTCCGGGGCGGACATGGGGAGGACCTCGATGGGGATGGCCTTCCAGTTGGTGAGTAGCCTCTGAGAGAGCTTGCGGTAGTCTGCGGATTCTCGTCAGCTCGTCTGCGTTTACAATTTTCGCTCGGACCTCCACCCGAGGCGGTTCTCGTAAAAGACTCACCAGCAACAACAACGAACTTCTTGGCGGCAATGGCGACAAGCTTCTCCTGCAACAAGCAGGCACCGCCGCCCTTGATGCAGTTCAGGTCGGCGTCGACCTCGTCCGCACCGTCGAACGCGACATCCAAAGCGACGAGCTTGCCGTCGGGGCCCAGTGGCCTCTCGTCGAGGTTGCACAGACGCAGGCCGGCGGCGCGGATGAGGCCCTTGGACTGGCTGCCGGTGGGGAAGAAGGTCATGTTGGACCAGAAGGAGGGGCCCTTTGCGGCGATGGCGTCGACGACGTAGACGACAGTGCTGCCGGAGCCGATGCCGACGAAGCGGGCCGACGCATCGAGGTGCTCATCAACGGCGCGGTAGGCGGCGGCCTTTTTGGCCGACTCGACGAGGGATACTGCGGAGGACATGGCGCGGGCGTAGTAGAGTTTTGGTGTGACGGTGGTGCTGGTGCTTGTGCGGGGTGATGAGAAGGGTGAGAGGAGTGGTGAAGTTGCACGAGAAGAGGACTGGCGGAGGGACGAGATGGTTGATCTTATTAATAAAGATGCTCTGCTGCAGGAGGTGAACATGGGGCCGGCCAGAAGAAGAGGCTTTGACGGGATGGGGTGGTGGTGTTAGAGTGGGATGAGCCATAAAGCTTTCTCCGGTTGCCGGGCTTACTCATGAATCGCGACGGAGAGTGGATTCCGACACGGGTGCTGGCGGCTGACCGCAGATGGCAGCTGCATCTGCTTCCCGTACCTCGAGACGAGGACGGTGAGATTTTGTGCCATGCCGGAGCTGGATGCTATTAATATTGGGATTCAATTGGGTTCATCGATCGTTCTGTAACCCATTGTATCAGCTGTTTGGCGTTGTGGAAGAGGCTGAAGCTGTTTCTACCTCCAATTGAGCGCTTCCTCGGTGAGTCTCGGTCTGCAGCTACCTCACCGAGCACCCCGCCTACACCGACCGCGGGGCATCTTCTCAGATGCCAGGACCACTTCTTCACCCCACCTATGACGTATATGCCGACTTTTTCAGGGACGCAGAACCCACCGTTGATACCTTCTGAGATCGTCTCAGGACGGAAGCGCCGAATCAGACCGAGAGCTCGGCGGGCCAGTGAGCGTTCCGGGAGCCACCGGCGTGCTTCCGGTGGACCTCCGGTGGAGCAGGGAAAAGTTTGTGCGTGAGATGTTATCAGGGAAATCCCTCGCGCCCATCGCGGCAGGTAAGAAACTTGGATGTTTACCGACGTCACTCGTTGAGTCTACTCAGTACATGCAGCTGGCCAATGGATGGACCGATGATTATCAACTGGGTAGGTAGACATCGACTTGGCGAGGTTCAGACGCAGCTCAATTTGATTGCATTAGTCGCGCGTTGACTTGCACGGCGGCTAACAATAAGACGACAATCCGATTAATGCTGTCTTGACAAAGAGTACGTTTCTGATATCTCTCGTCTCCCCCATAACGTTCTAGTAGACCACCAAACACCGAATGACGTGAAGACTGCTATGCCGTAGTAACAAGGCCGCGAGTGTCATCTGGACAAACAGATGCAACATGGGCAAGAATCTTGCTCGCCGCTACTTGAGGCGATAAATGAGACACGTCGACCCGTAATCGATGTGGGTGTCCCTCAAAGTCGTACAGGTCTTCGCCAGCCCGGAACATTTTCAAAAGCTTAGTGTCAATCAACTTCCCTTCCGCCTGTCGGCCACCTTCAATCAGTCGGCTCAAGTTGGTCTGTTCGTCGCAATCTAGCGTAATGGGGACAAATTCGCAACCTCGTCTTTCGGCACAGTCCTTATACTCCTGACATACAGCTGTTCCTGCTTCGTTGGCCGTTTGTGCGTCTGTGAAGACATAGAGCGTTGAGTAGGTGGATGGCTCATGGATGAGCGACTCAAAAATTGCCAAGCGGATGCGGCGACGGAGATCTTGATAGCCCGGCTGATCCCGGCTCAGTACGGCTTCGGCAGGGTTGATGAGGAGGTGGTTATGCACCAACTTGATTTGATCGCTGGCGTTGTCGAGAACTTTGGCAATAGTCAGCTTGCCTGTTCCTGGGAAGCCGTTGATTTAGACTATTGGTCGAGGTTTTGACGGAATGGCCATTATGGAATCCACAATATTATTTGAATAACTAGGAATAGCTGATGACCGTACCACCGACTCAAAAGTGGTTTTAAGGGGAAATGCTCTTATGTGTGAATTCTGTGAGGCACGGCGATAAGTGAGCTTCGGCCAAATGAGTCACGCATCATGTATGACTCCTATCTACGTATAATTCTACTAAACCCGATAACATCTCCAGGAAACAAAAACTAATCTTGTCTGCACGTTCACCAAAACGGTAGTGTTGGATACGCTTCGGTTTGTGGATGGCCATAGGGCGGTGCTGGTAACCATGTACCCATCGAAGCTTAATGAAGACACCATCAACGTTATTCGGTTCTCGGCTCAGTTGCAAGAGATAATGCAAAGCATGCTAGCAGACACATACTAGGAAACCCAGCAGTAAGAGACTAGTTACCCTTGTCATCTTACGAACACACACACACAAGCCACATGTTCCTCAGCAGCCACCAGGGTGTGTCGACAAGCACATCCTCCTGTGGCTTTACAGAAGGATCTTCTCAGGGCCCCTGGCCATGTTTCCCTTTTGAACATTGCTAAGATTCCCCGTCTGTTGCTTGCTTTTTCGGGTTCTCGGGCGCCACGAGGTCTCGATGTCAACAGACGCGGAAGCTTGAGCTGTAATTGCTTTTCGCACGTGGTAGCAGTCGCCGACTCGCCTAAATCCTCGGTAGAATGTCAGGACTCGCAATTTCATACTGATTCATTTCATCTGTCAAAATTCCAAGACGCTGGATGACAGACCACCCGAACATTCGGCACGTCTCCGCTTCCATGGATCATGCACGGTCATTTCGGTTATCTATACATCTCATGATCCTTTCGTTCCATTTCTAAACCGGTGGCCTGACGGACTCGACTGTTGCGCTTCTCGAATCGGATTCGAGAGAAGACGAGCAACAGTGACATCGCCTGCTCAAGCTGATGAACCCTTCACGACTTCAGCCAGGAGCACAGGGACGAACTGCGAGTCGCACATCCCCCAAGAACCAGCCTCCAGAACACCCAAGATGCGACTCTGCATCGCGCACGCATGTCGCACCACCCCTGGCCAGTCGATATGCCAGGAATCTTATCTAACATGAGGCAGGCACGGTCAAATACGACCTTGTTCTACGTTTGTCCATGAAGGTGTTACTGAGGATGACACTCTGCTCCCCTTCATCCTTGTCTAGAGCTAACGGCGCGACAGCGCTGCAAGTCCTGCCCGTGGTACCAGCACCCCAGCGGTGATCTTGCATGTTTGTTTCCCTGAAACTAGTTTCCACAGCAGCTAGATTAAGCCAGATGCCGTTACGTCTGCGTAGATGTGCAGCATCGATCAACAGCACCAGCGCGGATCATCGATGTGGGGGATATTCACTATGATGACACCGGGACGAGAGTAGGCCGTCCTTATCCGCAGCTATAATTGATGTGACCACTTGGCTGTGATAAACTCAAGAACATTTCTGGTCTTCAACATGAACCTGATGCAGTGTGGCGCTCCGGCGCCGGTCTAGCCAGACAGAAGCGACAAGGGGAATCAACGGGAAGAACCCAGCCGGGCAGGGCTATCAGCTTGGCTATCACTGCAAACAAAACACTTATAGTATAGACAAGGCCTGTGGAAGAATACTCGCTGCTCTCGGCCGGTGCCTCTATCGACCACATATTAAACTCAGTTCGGCGGAGAAGGAGAGGCCTCCTCCGCTGATGATCGACCGGAATGTGTTTATCGGCGGGGTACATGACACGCGCCATAGCCGCTCTCGCCGTCGTCGCCGTGATCATGGCATTGCTTCAACCGTCAAGGTGGGCAGTTTCGAGGAGGCCTAGATTGACAAAGTGACGTTGGCGAGCCCGGCCGATCATGGCAAGGAAGGGTGACGATCCAGCGGACACGGAGGGAGAAACCCCCACCGAACGTCTCGAGTCATGCAGCTGAGCGTGGCTGAGGTCGATTCTCATGAGCGAATCGCATCTCGCCGTTTCCCTGCACAGAACCACTTTTATCCGTCTGGGACACTTGACGGGCCTGTCGTCCAGCCTTACGGAGTTGGCTTCCAGGTGTCAGAGAAAGGCCAAGGGGGCACGACTTGGCTGTGATTGGGAGGCCGTGTTTATTCCGTGGATGAATAACTGCTTTCCAAGAGACTGTCAAGTCTGAAGCGGGAACAGCATCATGGATCAATCCCAGACAGCTTCGACATGTCAAAAGTTCTTGGCTACCGATTGGCTCATGAGAAGGCCATCTCGGAACTCTGCGCTTCCTTAACTTTATGGTTTGGCTTGACAGCTTTCCAAGAGCCAATCGCAATCAACATCGACAGCAAGGGGATCCATACCCATCACCATGACACCTCCCCGCAAACAGCCGCCAGAAGACAGCATGTCCCAGCTAAATGTTTACATTTTTAGGGCACAAGATGCCCATTAAGACGCCGTGATAAGTTCAGTCAGCGCTTAGAAAAGACGGTGGCATCCCGTCCCGCGTTGCGCACGAACCTCTTCTGCCCATTGACATTGATGACTGTCGTGATTAAGCTGAGGAGGGGCTATATTAGCTATATCTGACCCTGGGCGACGGGCTGTGCAATTTTCGTGATCTCCAGGCGATCTGACGCTGCAACATGGCCTCCTGGACGTTCTGGTTAGCGAATCGCATTTCAGCGGATGCACACTTGTTCCGCCGTCTCCCCTCATTTCCCCAACTGTTCGTGCCACGAGATCCTTGGCATCGACGCACCTAACGCCGATGTCAAATGGCTGACAATTGAAACGGTCGGCCGGTTGTCCCTAGATAGGGAATAGATCTGCTGAGATCTCAAAAGTCTAACGCATTTGCCGAGAGAGGAAGAGGGCGACGCCTCTCTCATGTGGGCCCTGCCATTATTCCGCCGTCGTCAGGCCGTTTATGGCCCGGTTCACACTCTCGCCGGATGCCATGCATCCATCACCAACCCCCCGGCGTTTTGGAGGGTTGGCGCCGACGTTGCATTCCGACACGAGCTATACCACCTTGTTTATATGACTTGCATATGGTGACGGGTGACGGGTGATGGATGGTGGGAAAGCCCAGATCGTGAGATACATAAACGCCAGCGTCGATCCGGTTCTCGCCAAGATCGCTTCTTCTGCTTCTCTCCAGATCACGGTTCACAATCTTCTCGGCGGCTTTCTGATTTCTTCAAACCATTTCTTATCATTCAATTCTCTGTCTGCAGGTATCAGGCGCCATGGAGTCTTATCTCGAGGAAACCTCCTACACTTTCTTCCCCAGCGTCGACGGCAACATGGGATACACCTTTGACTCCCAGTTCATTCCTTACCCTTCTGGGGATAGCCTCGACAGCTTTCTGTACCCCTTCTCATTTCAGGCATGCCAGCAACCAATGCCAATGATGACCACCAGCCCAACACTCTCTATGGATTCGGACTTCACATTCAACACCGCCTACGCCACGCCCTCTCCTCCCCCGGATTTCTCGCCTGTGCCCAGCGAGCAATTCGAGTTCGCCCCATCGCCCAGCAGCGTGACCACATCACCAAGCTCACCTCCCAAAGAGCCAGAGGTTGACAGCTGGGGTCCTTCGGATCTTCATCAGATGGGCTACCTCGACGTCGCCGGAAACTGGCGTTGCCGGTACGCAGGGTGTTGCTCTTCGCGCGTCTTTCTTAGAGCCTGTGATCTGCGAAAGCATTTCCGGGGCCACGCAAAGTACTTCTTCTGCACCGAGAAGCGTTGCCAGCAAGCAGGCGTCGGCTTCGCGACTCGCAAGGACTTCCAGCGACATATGGGGTCTCACAAGCCCGCAGTCCGGTGTCTCCACCCCGATTGCGACAGAATCTTCAGTCGCAAGGACAATATGGTACGCGTTAGTCTCGCCCTATTGTTTGCAGCGAATACTAACTTGGAAACAGAGGGAACATTACAAAAAGATTCACCAACGGTTAAGAAACAACTTGTTTCCTCGGCGATGCCGTAAGACCGCGCAGGGCGAGCCTCAGCAAGCCGTTTCTCCAGCATCGACCTGCTCAAGCTGCACGATGGATTCGTGAATGAGAATTCTTCTGGGTGAATTTCAGCGGCGATAGTAGACTTTTGCAACAGCACGATTGTTGCAAATAATGTGTTATGCGGCGATGTTGATGATTTTCACGTCAAGCCTGTCTTTTTTGAGCGACCATAGATACTAGGATCCCCTTCTAAGAGGCGAACCACTCTTTTAATTCCATATACATATATATCGCAAGACGTCTTAGAAATCTTGGCGTGATTGTTTAGATGAACGGAAGGATAACCGAGAGAGCCCATCCATGACTCCATCCATGCATGACTCCACGCCTTCGTCAGTATCTTAGACGCAAGCTTAGAAGATGCCCACGTAATTTTACAACTGATGCAAAAATGAGCCTCTAGACCTAGGATACTGTAAAACAACTTCTAAACTTTCTTTCTACGTCTATGATACAGCGCAGCAAGGGCGTTTAGACTCATGTGCGCAACAATTAGTTGGCGAGCCATGATGCTGTCGTCTGGGTCTCATCGGAAGTCGGAATCCGAAAGCGCACGGGAAAGGACGCCATTGGTTGATTTACGAGATTAAATTGCGCCATACCAGAACTTCGAAAGTTTGAACTTGAAAAATTACGGTTTTAGGCAATTTTCTAGACGGTGGGATAAAAAAGATGTCGAAAATGTCGAGCTCAACATGTGCACTCGGAGGCCGTAACAACCGAAGGCCGAGAAGTGTTATCCACAACTCGGAAAAGTAGTGAATGATGAACCTGGCAAAAAGCGCTGTAGAGGTATCATTCTCATAGGCGTCAGCAGGAAGGGAAGTCTTCGATGGTGGTATATATATGATTCGATGCTCCCTAATCAAGATTCCAAGTAACCTCACTCATACGGAAAACATCCAGAAACAAAAGCCCACCTACAAGCCGATCCAGACAATCAAGATGATTAACGCTGATGTCTCCATCGTTGGAGTCGGCAATATCGGGGCGGCCATGGTGAGCGCATGGCTTGACTCGGGGTTGAAGGTCACAATGTGGAATCGCAACATCAATCGACCAAAAATCGCCAAACTTGTGGAAAGGGGTGCAACGTTCGAGCCAAACATCAACGAAGCAATGCGTTGCAGCGACAAAATTGTCTTATGCGTCTCAACTTACGATGACATTGACGAAGTTCTATCGCCCATTCTACCCCTCAAAGGAACCGAGAGAAGCATTACGGTCATCAACATTACCACCGGCACGTCTAAGCAAGCCCGGGATATGGAGACGCGTCTTAAATCCAACGGCATTGCTAAATATTTCGACGGCGCAATCATGGTCACTCCCGAGCTTATTGGCACGATGCACTCGTCCATGTTCTTTAGCGGAGAAAACGAAGCCGAATTCGAAAGCATCTCGGGGATTCTCAGACCGCTAGGAAGTTCTCACTACGTCGCCCAGGACTCCGGCGCAGCAAGCCTTTGGGATATTGCGGCTCTTGCAGCCATGTATGGCATGTATTCCGGAGCGATTGTCGCGCTGAATGTGCTCAAGCGGCAGCGGCTCGATGATGTGGCCACAGAATCACCATCAACTGAAATACCGATGAAGAAGATTGTGCTCCCTCTCCTCTCGACACTTTTGCCTCATCTAGTCAATCTATCAAGAGCTTTGGATAAAGAGGACTGGGACGAGAACTTTGGAAATCCGGTCTCGATGCAGTTGAAGGGGCTGCAGACCATCTTGACAACCTTGGGAGAGGAGAAGGTCAACGCGGACGGGCTCGAGCTGTTTTACCGAATGATGCAGCGCGTGGTGCAAGACAAAGGTGAGAATGCAGGATTAGCTATCATGGGAACCTATCTGCTGGAATGAATAGAAAGATCGAGATACAAGAAATCTAGAGTAGTGGTCTAGCGATGCTTGTTACAGCCGGGGCCTTACGCAAACAAATCGGAAACAGGATGTGTAAGCGATCCGTTGTATTGGGCAAGTAGAACGAGTTCAAGACCTTGACATGAACTCAAGGCAAAAGACAATACATTTGTCATTGGAAGAAACCTTTGCCCTGGCAACAAAGGTTCCATTGCCCTTGTGTATCACTCATTATTGACGGTCAATAGGCTTGTTCGCCGAACAGAAAGAATTGTTGCTCCCATGCTTCCTGACGATAAACGTAATACTCAAGATTAGAAACTAGTGGCCTATGAGAGTCTTTGAAGGGCGTAAGTAGTTGAAAGCTGTCCAGAAACACAGTGTGCTGTGTCCTAAACAACGGCCCAAATAACAGTTTGGCGACGGTTTTGCCTGCATCTAGACCTTATATTCCATCTGAATAATTCACAAAATTATATCAGTTCTCAGATCATTCCAAAATACCATTACTCCACACAAGCCTTTGCCTATCCCTTTCAATTTCACATTGCAACCTCATCATCCACGCGATTTCCTCGTAACTCGAATTCCACCAAGAAACATTAAACTCTTTTTACGTTACTTTCATCCATCACACGAAGAATACCGTAGCATATACGTCACGATCAATAGAGTGGCAGAAAGAGACTGGGACATACTTGACGAGTTGTATCGGCGCGAGGATGCTATGCCCCTCTTGGTGCACGACGAGAATGGTGATTCAAGTCCATCTTTCGGATGGGTTGACGCGCATGCTGGCATCAACTGCCAGCGATGGGGCGTGCATTTATGCCGCGATGTTCTGCCAACAGGCCAGGAGGAGCCTACAGCCCGTCAAAGAGGATGGACAGTGCAAATTTTGGGTCAGTGTCGCTGGTTGGGTTTCGCCTTCTGGGAACGGGATCGTGTCAAGTTGCTGAAGATGCAGTTGCCGGTGTTTGAAACCGGATGGCTTACAGTTGCGCCTCCACCTGAAGAGGTGTGCGAGATATACGAAGCATCCAGGGTATTCAAGCATCGCCCTAGAGCACCTGCAACTGCGGCTTCTTCATAGAACATTACAGAAAGGCGTTCTACAGTTGAAGTATAATTAGTCATTGAATATATCACTATAATCACGGACACGCTGATTCAGATATTCATCAATTAGAGTTTTCATATTCGATCTTACTTGGAACAGCGTTGGGCATGCTGTCGCCGTCAGTCTTTTTATGAAAACGCCATCCATATGTTTCTGGTCTAACCCATACGCATGTTGCACAAACACCAGCTGCGTCAAAGATGAAATGGGAGATTTGTAAGTCTTCGCCAGGGCGGGGGTGATTAGACCGAAAGGTTCCTCCTTGACCAAATTATCAATGTGGGGTTTCTAGTGCTATGAGAGTGGCTCTCCTTCTGCTGTATCATCATCATTGTTCTGTCGCTGTCTATAAAGTGCTACTTTACCTTTTTGCCAATGGGCTCGGATGATGAGTTGGGTGACCTCAGCCTGACATGAAGCTTAATCATTGCGGAAGATCTAGTCGATGCAACGTCTTCATGTCGTGATTAACGCGTGAAGCCCTCTCAGCGAACCTTCTCTTTCAAGGAATTTCGTAAGCAGTCTTCATAGCCAAGTTTGACGTATGGAGTTGACTGCCCAGGAGCGACCATCTGTTGAGCTTTGCAACCGTAAATATTCATTATTATTCCTGTATGTAAAGTTGATCTCCGCAAACGCACATAGCCTACTCGACACTCCTTTTGCCCCCCCACCCCACCCCCCCGTTCTGGTTCTTTGAAATCTGTGTCAATATTCACGAGTGTCGTCCTAACTATCTACTCTAATCTTTCTCTCCGTCGACGTATTCATCTGCCTAGACTCGGCCTCGGCTAAAACTGTGCCGATATCTTCGTGGCCCCAACAGCCCTCGCCAATGGGCCTGTGATGTCTCTCAGCCCCTGGCCGGTTTTATCACCTCTCTCCACCGGTTTACAAGGGTTTGCCCTCAAAGCAACACGAGAAATTGTTGGGTCCACTGTGACGCTAGTAAAGTCCACTGCCAGTGCGATGAGACCAATTACCCTACTGCATGGACTTAGAGACAGTTGGCCATGAGGGCTTACGAAGCGATATCCAAGAGGATGTATCACTCTTTAATACAAGTATTGAACCACCACCCCTCAGGCTCAACAACGGTTGGTTTAAGGTACGCTACGGGTCGTGGCGGAAAGGCAACGACTTGCCACTACGTAGCATGAAATTGGATGGGTCCCAACTTCATGGTCCACTCTAGCGCCAACACATTGTCACACGGAGTGTGGAACGATTTTCTGTTTCCAGCTACGTTCTCCGGCGCCAGTCCCATATGATTGGGAGTACACTTGATTGGTGCGTTAACAGACTCGCCCGTTCCAAGAAGCCGCAGGTCTCCCCAGCTTTTCGTAACCACCAATTTCGTTTGGGAGACGTGGATCCCACTGAAGCAGCATGACCCTGCGCAGGCATCGAATTCTGATGCCATTGGAGACTTCGGATATCTGGGTGTTTCATCAGGTTCTTCTGAATTGTGAGCAGGCAGGAAATCAGGTATATTTATACAAAGCTAGGTAGCATAAACTGAGAAGACATGGGGGGGACTTCTGTTCGAGAAAGTTACTTAAGGGCTGTAAATCATGTTTCAAAAGCCATTAACTCGCTATCGACGCTCGGCATATCTAGTCCAGATCGGATCGTTGCAAAGCTTCTCCAAGCAATCCTCATAAATACCTACTAGCATCTCCCGGCCACCATCGGGGTGTTGAGGATACATGATCTGCATGCCGTTAAGGATACCACAGCTAGGTGAGCGGATAGCCGCAATCTTGCCACCCAGAGCGTGGCCCCAATCAAGATCGTACATCTTGAACTTTTCCCACGACGTCTGCGCGCAGTTTTGGCCAGGCACATCCAGAAATGACGTTGGGATTAGAGCGCCAACGTCTTTCTGATTGTTCACCAGCTGGACGACATCGTTGATGAACGAGCCTGAGAAATCCTTGTCCATTGCAATGATGGCTTTGCGAATCAAGAGGGACAGGGCTGCAATGTTGTCGGTCTCGAGAATCTTCTTGATGGGAAGCTCGACTTGAATGAAGCCGAGGAAGCTTCCCATAGCTTCCGAGTGAATCGGCGGCTGGCTTCGTCCTCGACCATCGATGGCAATGTTGTAAACAGAATTTTCGCTTCCATCCAGTTGGGCCACGTCAAACTGAGCTGCCATGATGCTTCGCCAGATTAAAGCTGAGAGCGCGTCGTTGGTGGACACGAAAGACCCGTCATTCGTCTTGGGTTGGGCGTCCCGCTTCAGTCGTTCCAGCGAATCCTTCGATAGGTAAAAAATCTGTCCAACGTGACCATCCGTTGTCGCGATCTTAGCCAGCTGCGTTGCAGGATCCGTGACAATGGTGTACTCGGGATGGTCCTCGAGACGGCCGGCCTTGCCTTTGGGAAGAATCTGTGGCGAGTCGTGTGCAATTTGGCGGTCCGTGTAGATGCGGTCAGGATACCGAACGGGATCCAAGATTTTAAGTCTTTGAGCTCGGCGAGTCTCCTCAGCCCAGATGCGAATCCAGTTGTAGAATGCTTGGCCGTCACCAACAAGGTGAAATAGATTCCAGTTGAGTATCAAGCCACCTCGGATAAAGTTGGCTTGCACAATTGTAATGGGCACCCGCTGTCCAGGGGCGGGCCAAATGGGGCAGCGGGTGAAAACTTCAGCTGAGAAGCTCGAGACTGGGAAATGCTTAGCCTTGAGCTCCTCAAACGAGGCTGTGAATGTTTCCGAATGGCGCAAATCATTGATGATGACGGGCTCTATCTCGTGGTCGGTGATCTTTTGAAGTTTGAGTGCGTTGGCTTGTTTTGCGTCAGGATCAGGAACAGCCTCGCACGCCAACGTCGGGAAGCGATCCTTGGTGGCTTGCAGGCTTCTGCGAAAGATGTCCGTGATGGCTTCAGGATCATAGTCCTGTGGGAGTTGGAATGGAAACAGATAACGGACCCACCCCCTGGGACTGATCTGCTCCAAGGGCGTAAGTTGGGGGATCCCCGAGAGAAGGTGGACGTCCGGCACAGACCCCATTGCTATAATGATTTTCCTTTGTGTTTTTAGGTACGTTTAGACAGAAAGGATCTTTCGTAGTCACCGCAGCGAAAATGAAATGGAACGGCATCGGGCTTGTTTATACACCTTCGGCGGCCGCCCTCTTCTGAGAGTTCGACGCCAAGCTAGATACCCTTGAAGAGTTCCACTCGGGTAGTCCTTAGGTCACTTCCCGGAGGGTAGATCAATCAACAATGGTCTGTCTTCACTGCGCGATGTTGGTCGATGTGAGCACCAACGTCTCGTTGGCTCGGCTCCACAAGAGCCACTAAAGTGACGAGGGCTCTCGTTCGCTTGCGTTGGTTGGATTCGACTGAAGAATTGCGACGCTTCACTTTCCTTCAGTAGGAAGCTGCTCCGGAAACGAGGAACTTTGGAGACGGACTCCTTCTGGCTGCATGAATGACTCGTCAGACGATTGGAATGACGATCATGGGCGAGTTCTGTTCCTGGCTGATCCACTCGCGTACCTAAATGCATGTACGACCCCGGTCACTGGGATTTTGCTTTGGCTCGAAGGCACGACCCAATGAACGTTGAAATCTGTGCAATTCGCCAATCGTTCATGTAAGCATGTCTCTCCTGGCTGCCTTTCTTTTGTCATTGGGAAAGATTTGAACATGCAGCCTCGATAACTTACACCTTTCACGTACCCACTGTTGACAATGGCTGTAGACCCCTTCATTGAGGCAGCCTTTGGGCCGCCTCCTGATGGCGTTGACCTGACCGAGAGCCAGGCCACGAAGAACAATGCTATTGTAATTGTCCTTCTCATCATTGCTGCTCTTTCTGTTGCCGGTCGCCTGGTCGCTCGCAGTAAGTATGGCCCTGGCCTAAGCCTCGATGACTACGCCATCGTCGTGGCTTGGGTACTTGTCGCAGCAACGGCAGGAATGGTAATAGCCAGTAAGTCCGATATTTTCTCTCGTAGCCATCGTAGTTAAACTTGGATTTTAGACTAACAAACTACAGTTGGCCAGGCTGGGGCTGGTCGCCATGTCTGGGCTCTGAGCGTGGATGACCTAGTCCAAACTTCAAAGGCAAGTTCCGAAAGACGTCACAATCATGAATTTGTACTAATAGCTACAGTTGCTCTACATCTATAGCTTCGTCTTCTGCACCGCCGTTCTCACCACCAAGATATCAATCCTCCTCTTCTACTGGCGTGTCTTCATGGGCAACCTACTGTCATTCCGCTTCTCCATTTGGATGGGAGCCTTCCTTGTCGGCTCATACCCTATATACTTCATGATCACCATGGGGTTCTGCTGCAATCCACTTTCGCACTATTGGACTCAGTTCAAGGGCACTACGGGCACGTGTCTTGACGTCGGCCACTTCTTCTTCATTCTGGCTATCATCAACCTCATCACGGATGTCATACTGTTGGCTATTCCGGTTCCCGAGATCCTCAAGCTTCAAATGAGCAAGGACAAGAAAATTGCAGTATGCGGCATTCTTGGCCTAGGGGGATTGTAAGTGACTGGTAACGAAATCCTTGGTATCCGCCCCGTGCTGACTATCCTTGTAGTGTCTGCATAGCCAGTGCGGTGCGTGTGCACTATCTCAAAGTCTTCTCCACGGCGACCGACATAACATGGATGATGGGTCCAGTAGCTATTTGGTCATCGGTTGAGCCTTCTGTGGGCATCTTTTCCGCCTGTCTTCCTAGTTTCAAGCCATTGCTCCGGGCCATCAGAGGCAGGAACATGAATTCCAGCAGCTCAGGAGACAAGGGATCTATTTACCCCCTGGGCTCAAAAGGGACTCGAAATACACGGCCCAGGTTGAGGTTAGATGATGAAATCGCTTTGCAGAGTCAGGCAGTCGGAGGCGGGGGAAGCGGAAGCATGCACAGCGGAAATGACAGCGAGTTCGGACGCCATATTCACGTCAAGACCGATATCAAGCAGACGATCAATGGCTTTTCATAGCATTATAGGATACATTATGGACTGACTCTGCACTGGGACACTACATGTACATTCTGGGTTTCAACCCTCATCTAGTGAACAGAGTACGAATGGAAATAATTCCACAGGTTAATCGAAAAGTAAAACGCCAAATAGGTCCAAAGGAAGAACATTTCATCCATGAGAATTCAAATTGTCTTATTTTCTGTCGAAAACACTAATTGAAATCCAGACCAGCAGCGAACGACCCCACGCACGGTATTCCGAGCATGGCGTGAGCCAGCTTCCACGAAATCTCCTGCGGGTCTACGGATGTAGCAAAACCATCAATCTTACCATTCGAAGACTTTTTATAGTTGTTTTCTCTCATTTTTGTCAACAACCTCTGGCGAATCAGCTGAAGCTTCTTCTTACTGTCTGCTGGAATCTTTTCACTGTTTCCTTGATGTGGGGTTGTATTGGCCGTCTCTTCGGTAGCAATCACTTCATTACAGTTGACCCTACTCAATTGATTGCAGCTCCCATGTTCTTCGTCGGGAGTGAGATCAGAATACTGATTTATCAAGTCCTGGAAGAACGAAGACTTCAACATTCCGTCCGAGTCGAAATATTCTCGGTATTTGGGCGGAAATTCTTCACGGGGAATTATTTCCAAAAAGGGGTGGTTCTTGCAAGCGAATCTACTGAACTCGCGTCGAGGATTGAACATTGTGTAAATTGAGGTCAGTCCCTTTTGCAAGAGAGCCAATTGATGAGCTGAGACTGAAATTCCGAAAGAGTCTTTGTCTGGGCTATGCCGTATAATGCTTCGTGCATTGTTGAGTAGGTTGGTGAACCTCCAGCCTAGTATTCTTTCGTTGGCTGGGCTCGCCCGTGATGGGAAGGTTTTGGACCAGCGTGAGTATGCCGAAATTGTGGAATGTATCCATTCTTTGGCAACTTCATCGATAGGCTTCAAACAGTCTACCAGCAGGCTGGCGCCATACATGCGGAAAACCTCGGCTATGCGAAGAATAGGATGAACATTCTCCTCGAGATCCCACAAGGCGTCGATCTGACCCGGGACTGTTTGAGGAGGTTCGGCGGAGCAATAGGCCTGATAGCACGCATGACAAAGGTCCAAATCGATACAAACAGTGCAAGAATATGAGGGCACCGTGATCTTTTGCTGGCAACCATCGCAATATAACCAACCGGCCAGATAGTGCTCTATAAGCTCGCTTCTGCAGAGCTTATACTGTTCCATGCTTCCAGCGGAATTGAGCAAGACTAGGCTTGAGGACAGGCCAGTCAACTCCCGGTACCTGTGGCCCCTCATGCTCATCATTTCGAGACTTTGCAGAACTACTTGTTCTGCGAAGTCTACGATAGTCTTTCTTTGCTTCCGGAGTTTGACGGATGGGTCTGAGGGAATGTACCGATGCAGCCAGGGTGTAAGGATCTGTGCTATGTTGGGGTGCTTTGCTGCGTAATCGATAGCACAGAGACCGTAGCAATCTGTTTCCGTAGGGTCAGAGCCACCCTCGAGCAGGAGCTGGGCGGTCCTGGCTTTTCGGTTCACGATTGCGTGTATAAGAGCGTCTCGTTTTAGTCGCTTGTCCCAGCGGTGGTCCAGATTACGCGTACGGACACCCTTCCTCAAGGCTGCCCCCACGAAGTCTGTGAAGCCCTTTCCCGCAGCCTGGCACAAAGGGCTGAAGTCACCGAACCCTGATCCATCGACAGAAATTCCAAGATTATGGAGAAGATCGACCATATTTGCATGACCACCCTCAGCTGCATGAGACATGGCATCCCACCCCTCACTGCTCATAGAGAGGATCCAAGCACGCCTGGCATCATCTTTTACACGGCCCAAAAGTCGATGAACAAGCCTTGCATCCCCGGTAGTAACGGCGAGATGAAACATAGTCACACCGAAATTATCGCCCTTGTCTACAATGCTTCCATTGTCCAAGAGTAGATTTGCAGCAGGGATATGCAAATTTGACAAAGCAGCAAAAGCCGGCAGTCCACCGACAGCACTAGTTTTGTTGACATCCGCACCACCGCCAATCAGGTACTCAATAACACTTTGGTGGCCGGTTTTGGATGCAAGCCACAGGGGGGTCGCCCCATCGACATCCTGACAGTCGATCGTCTCGGGTGTACATAGCAAGGCCACACATTGTGTATGTCCAAAGATGGCAGCCAGATGGAGCGGTAGTCTCGAATGCTTGTCTTGAACTTCGCGAGATGATGAGTCGAGTTCGATAAGCACCTTGGCAGTTTCAGTCGCGCCATTCCGGGCTGCTACGTGAAGAGGCGTCAAACCATCAGCACTTTTGACTCTGATATCGGTACTAGGCCACAACCCAATCAAGACTTTGATAAAGTCGTAACGATTTAGAGCAGCTGCATAGTGAGCTGGTGCAAATCCCTCGTCGTCTCCCATTGCACATGTTTCGTTAGGAGCTGGGATCAAAGGCAACAGCTCCGTTATGCCATGCTCAGCGATATAATGTACTGAAGTTTTCCCATGAAATCCAGGTGCTTGAGGGTCTGCCTTGTGATCCTTGAGAAGCATTCTGGCTACTTCTATGCACCCATTATCAATCGCGATATGTAATGGCGTGGACATACTAGTGTTGGTCACGTGAGGCTGAGCTCCATACTCGAGAAGCAGTTGGCCCGCGGCTTCTTGTTCCTCGTACAACGCTGCCAGAAGCGGGGTGTTTCCGTTTTTGTCGATAGTATGAAGAAGGCTTTCTTGAGTAGTAGATGCAACAACCACCTTCATAAGGGCCAAATTACCACTTCTTGAAGCTATATGAAGTGCGGTTGACTTGTCTTCCGTGTTACGAGCAGAGACGTTGGCACCACTTTGGGCAAGAATTTCTAACACTTTGATATGACCCAAATAGCAGGCCAACAAAACGGCAGTGTCCCCGTATGAAGTTCTTGACTCCAAATTTGCCCCGTTTTGGATGAGAATCCGAACCACGCTGGGCATGTTTGCTCGTGTAGCGTAATGCAAGGGGGTTTGGCCATAGAAGTACGAAGCAGTAGAGCAGACCACGTTGCAATCCACTCCATGATTCAGAAGGCTAAGTGCCATATCAGCAAGTCCGTGCTGAGCGGCGTGGTGAAGAGCATTCTCCTTATTTTTCCCAGTCTGATTGACTTCAGCTCCAGCTTCGAGAAGGATATCGACTCCTTTGGAATTCATGTGAAAGGCTGCAAGGGTGAGAGGAGTATGGAGTTCTCGAGAAGTCTGATTTGGTGAGCCGCCCATTTTGAGTAAGCTTTTAAGAGACTGATTGGCCCCTGCCTTGGCTGCCGCATGTACTGGCGACTCTCCAGAAAGATCGCAGATGTTTGGGTCAAAGCCTAAAAGCACGAGGTCTTCGACGATATCAGCCCAATTCTCTTCAGCGGCACTGCGAAGCAGCCAAGCTTTGCATGACTCAAAGACTTCCGAATCAAAAGGGCATCCGTTCTGGTGTTTCTTCAGATGTTCGTCAAGTAGCCAGCGCGTCATCTGCCTTCGTCGCCAAAGCACTGAATATTCAATCGGAGTATGGCCGAACTCGTCTTGGCTGGAGAGGTAACTCTTAAGGCCCGGCATGTCCTTTGCTTCTTCAACGAGGTTGAAGATTGCCAATACGTGAAGAGGTGTAGGGTTTCCAAGAGACCACAGATTGTCCCGAAAGGCTCGAAACTCAAGAATTTGAATTGTGAGTCTCATGGCAGCCACCTTGTCCAGCAGTCCAATCAATAAGTTGTGCAAAACCTCCTTGCGTCTTCCTTCACCGTCCAGAAAGTGATCGCCCCAGAAGTTTGCCGCATAGTCAAGCAAGGGATATTGAGCCTTTAGATCAGTCAAGCTGTCCGGCGACACAATACTGCCGGCGTTCAAGTCTTCATAGTTGATGTATGTCAGACATGTCTCGGCAAGAATTGAGTGAGCTTGTTGTTGTAAATCCCCGTAAGAAAGTAGGATCGGAAGTTGTGACGACAGAAAGTCCTTCAAGGACGCGTGTCGAAGGCGGTACACCCCGTTGACCTCATTGACAAGGTCAGCACATTCCGTGCTAATTGAGATGTCCTTAGGAAGACGCTGACAACGGTTGATGCTGCTTTTTCCTGGCTTCACAGATAAAGCCTCCAACAATTCGAGCTTCGTAAGCGGCCGATAGGAGTTTGTCACCCACAACAAAGCCCGTAAAGCTCGGTCGCGGACGAACCGCGATGGATGGTTCAAAATCTTCTTGATTTCCTCGCCATAAAGATCGTCCAATCCTTCGGTAGTATCCTGCAGGGCGTCTTTGATGTCCTCGACGCATCCGATTTCCTTGAAGTATTTCGCTTTGAAGTGCACCCACAGAAACAGCCCCGCCGCGTTGTCGAACATCAAGCTTTTGACATCCTCGAACCCTAATCGCTCCTCGGGAGACGGATCAGTGTTGATTTCGTCAACTTTCCGAGATATGTACGCCTTTATGTCGTCATCGTTTGCGCCATTGTCTACCTGTACTTTCGGGAAGGCGTCAAAGGAACGACTAATCTCTTTGTAATCGGGGCGACTAAAAACAAGTACCCTAATCGAGCCTCTAGAGTCCTTGGACTCGGCCAGGCCGGCGAGAAACGTGCAAAAGTCTTCGAATTGACGGTCTGGTAACTGATTGCACTCATCCAGACCATCAATAATGATGAAGACCGAGGATAGGCGAAAAGCCGCCATTTTAATGCCCTCTTTCATTTCACTCCTTTTAGGCTCGTCTTTGCTAGCCTCATCCGCACGAGACAGTAAAGTTTCTATGCCAGCTGACAGTGGAAGGCTCTTGTATAACTGAGAAAGGAGGGTTCCGAGGAGACTATTCAATGTCATCCTCGTTTTTGTCTGAGTGGTGGTGCAGTAGGCGTAAGCCAGGGCTGTGTCCGTCCCTGTGGATCCCGAGGGGTCGAGCTCACTGATGACACGAGCTGCCAGATGCGACTTTCCTGAACCAGCTTTTCCGTGAACCCAGAGCAAGGCTGACTGAGGGCTTTGCCTCCACGCTCGAAACTCTGAATGGTCTAGAAGCCAGGTGCCAGAACCGGGAACTCGCCGTTCGAAATTGTTTTCTTGTATCTCTCCAAAATTCAAGGACGGTAGCCAATCCAAAAAGCGGCGACGTCTTTCTTCTAGAAGAAGTCAGCAAATCCGTTCAGAATTCAATGAGACCGCGTCTAGATTACCGTTCCGTAAGTTTACTTCCATTTCGATTCCCGTCTTATCCCTAACATCCCTTTCCTCGTGCTCGTGCCTGAGAAGTTGGCCAATATCCTCGACTTCCGAATGCATTGATTTCATCCTGCGGGCACTAATAAGATCTCTTCGCTTCTCCAACGTAGCTAAGTGCAGTTTGAAGTCGGTCTTCACATCGCCGAAGCGGGCATCAAAGTCTTTGCAAAAACCTTTCAAGGCGAGTACCATGCTGTTCTTCCTGGCTCCACACTCATCGTAGAAGAGCTCAGTGACCTTGATGCAAAACTTGAGAATATCAGCGGCCAGATTAATCTCACAAGTCTTCACAGACGCATCTTCATCGAAGATGTTCTCCTTTCGGTACTGATTGACAAGGTTCACTTCGTCGCCCATCCACTCCAGAGTCTCCAGCAGCTTGCTTTGAAAGTCATCCATGCGAGTCGTGAGTGACAGAACGCAGGTAATTCCCCCCAGGACCAGAGACGCAGGCATGGGGTTGAGTTGACTGGCACTGCTCATTATTGGCGCAATGGAGCTTGCAAGCTGATGAATTGGCTTCATCTTTCGGGAAAACCTAGATACTTTGCTGTCACTGGCAGCTTGATGAATTGCGCTCTTGAGCTCTGAGACGTAATTGTCGTAGTCGTCCGAGTCGCTGACGCTCGAGAAAAGTTCACGTCGAGGTTCAAGCTTTTGGGCTTGAGATAGCCAGAATTTGAGTGCGCTGTTCCGACTGGTTTCTTCATTTGAGCTCTCTTCGTCGGAAAATTTGGAGGATTCTATTCCGGCCGGTACCTGCTTGGAGGTCCGTTTCGGGAGGCCACGCGACGCTTGCCGCCCGAGCATTTTTTGATCTCTGGGTCGATACCGATGTTCGGGCAGTCATCAAAGAGGATGGGATGAGCTAATACATAAAGGGGGCAAATGAGGCTGTAGAACCCGTCTCAGGAGATGGGAAATACAGTAGGGCTCTGGTGGCGCAACCTGGATATATGTTGTCTCGACCACGAGTCTGATTTCCAAGCGAGGCAGTGCCTTGTCGTACGTAGGCTGAACAACATGCAAAATACGAGGCACAGCAATGAGGGGTAAGCGATGCATTGCTTGGCGATCTCAGCCAGTTATCCTCATTTAATCGCAAGTATCGGGCGTTCAGCTCCAGGGCGACAGCCAATGGAATCCTTGTCAGCGGAAGCAATGGTGTTCCACAGCGGTCAGACTTGTCACCCAAGGCAGAATCCTTTATTCACCTGACATACTGCCAAAGGTTCACTGCAGTGACCTGTCTGACGAGCACACCTCATAAGCAATAATTTAATCGACAAAATTGGAAGCAGGGATGCTTTATCACCTATATCTACTGATGAGTCAACGACATAGCAAATGCACCACAAGGCTTAGCGGAGCAGTCTGTTAAGCCCTTAATGAAAAACGAAAAGACGTTTCGGGAAATAATGAATAGAATTTCGATCGAAAAGTCTAAGCACCTTCAAGTCCTTATATGAGTGTCAATTTGGTGTCTTACGTAGCATGCTGCACATTGCCGTATCGTAGAAGGTTGCCAAATCGCGCCAAAAGATCACTAAACCAAATGACATTTCGGGCTCTTGGTACAATAAAACAACAATTCATCTCTAAGTACTGGTCTTTGCTCCCTTCTAGTCATCCGTATGGCGCTAGGCTAAGGCCTGAGATTTTGTTGGTATCCTATCGCAAATCATCCTTGAGACTGTCATAAATGGAAATCGATTTCCCATCAAGAACTTCTCCGAGGAAAGTCTCGAAGGCGATGGGCTTAAACTCTGAGTACAGCTTAGTCCCGTCAATGTACCCGAGAAACTCGGCATACTCTGGGGTATTGTCTCCTCGCACGCCCATCGAGTACCAGTACTCGTAAAAGATCTTCATCCTGTGATCAAAAGCATTTTCCTTAATGGCACCCACTGTCAGAGATTCAGCCAGAACGGCTTCCATAGCCTCAACAGACATCTGTAAAAGAAATGTAGGTCAGTCAGGTTTCAGACATCCACCAATTCACTGTCGGCAAACACTCACGTAATCACGCTTGGTATTCTCGCCACTCATCTTGTCCAGCATGTCGAAGATCTGATTCTGGGAGAGAACGGCACCATAGACGAAAACCATCTTGTTAATGGTGCGAGAATCGGCGATGATGCGAGCAGTGAACCTTCCGACGTCTCTCACATCCGTCAACGCAGATGGAGTGTTGCCATCTCCGGCGATGAAGTTGACCGGCAAAGGCGTCGCGGAATCGATACGCCCAGAGGGGAGGCGCGGGATGCTGAGTTGGTACCACCAGCCGACGTCAATGACGGTGTAGGGGAGGGAAATCTTCTTTGCGTGGAGGAGAGCTTCTTCTTTCTATGCCAGGCACAAGAGTTAGCACAGACTTCGGGATGTACATTCTGCTAGAAACTTCCTACCAGCTGGCGCAGTGTTAACACGCCCTTGGGAGGCGCGACGGTGGCGAAGAAGCAGGGAACAAATCGCTTCACGCCGGCGGCCTTGGCGGCGTCGGCGAGGGGAATCTGGCTTCCCAGTCCGCTGACGTGGATAGTCGAGATCAGGACGTCGACGTCCTTAAGGACGTTGACAAGCTCAGCTTTGGGGCCCTCCAGGTCAACACTGGCGATAGCAACTCCCCTCTTCTCGAGGGCGACAACGTTGGGTTTCTTGACGGAAGCGGGTCGGACAAGGGCGATGATTTTCTGGTTTCACAAGTGGTAAGTCTCAGGGACAACTGGAAATTTGGAACGGGGGGCGTGATACCAAGTCTGGGATTTCAGACTCAAAAAGAGCGTTGATGATAGCGGTGCCAGTCTCCCCTGATCCGCCTACGATAGCGACCTTCATGTTGTCTGCGGTATGTAAGTAGGCGATTCGTAAGAAATTCGAAGACTATTGCTCAGTCCCGATAACAGTCAATAACAAATCAATCAAAAAATTGAATACAGTTGAAGTTGTCAGTACTTATAAGTCGCAGGGCATGGACACTATCAACGCTAATTGAACGGAGCTACGAATACAAGTCCGCAACTGATTTGTATAAGCGAAAGCGAAAGCGAAATACGAAGCTCATGATAGACCGCATGATCTATCAGGAGCCATTCCCGCAGTAATTCTTACTGCTAATCTGGTCCCAAGTGAAAGTCCGCCGCTGATTTGTAAGAATGTGCGGAGTTGGCTCTGTGGGCCGCATCGTCAAACGCCAAGTCCACCGGTTTATGTGCTACTACCTACCTGCTAGATGTAACTACCATGCTAACTTCTGCTATTTCAGACACCTCTCCTATCTTGAAAACCCTGAAGATATCTCAGAACTGCCTGTGTCGCGTCCGGTGTGGCTTGCTTTGATGGTGGCTGACTTCGACACAGCGTGTGAGTCAGATCCCGAAGGCAACCATGACGACCAACCTTTGCATCCCTCCGTTTCCTCTAGTGACCTTGACTCACTACATAGGCCTATCTTTCGGCCTTGATCCCAACAACAAGAATTAAATCATCTCTCGTGGTGTAGTGGAAACATGCGTCCTTGTCGCGGATGCGCCCCTGGTTCGATTCCGGGCGAGAGAGAGTCCTCTTTTCTTTTTGCAACTGCATCTCGTGATCTTGGATAAGGGTAACGATGAAATTTCTTTTGCCTTAAGAGTATCGTCATTTAACTGAGAAGCCTTTCTCTAGCAGTCATGTTCACGGGGTATATCCGGTCCAGGGCGGGAGTTATAGTCGAGGCACAACTTTTGTACATGTGCAGACATGGAACATTAGATTGCATTGAGTTTGCATTTACGACGCAACTACCCCTCCTCAAAAGGCTCGAAAGGAATACGGCAAAATCACCCCGTTCTCGGGCACAATTCGGCAAACACTGTATAGGCACTTAGGCCTGTGCCCTCTATCGGTTAAGGGAAGCAATACAAAAACCCTATACGTTCCTGCTAGCAAGCAAACCCTCGCACTTGCAAAGTCGAACGCGGGCCGTGGCCGGATAGACTGGCGGAACACCAACGGCGCCGGCCGGGTCCGAACGGCGCCGCGGACGTAAATTACATATTCTCAGTCTCTATGCCTACACTTGTGTCTCATGAGAAAGCAAACATCACAGGCTTATTTGTAAGGAGCTGTCAGCTTTTGATTTTTTGAATGTCTGGAATTAGGCATTCAAATTCATAAGTTTGCCTCACGTAAGGTAGCCTATAGCTTGCTTTGTAAGCCTGAACTGGGAACCACGCTTACCTTTCTGAGCAGTAATCTAATGAGGTTCCCACTCGGAAGAGCCAAGAGGTAGTTCGTACAGGTAAGCTGACGGAGAAAAGCTGGAAGTCAATAATCACGACTTACCTTGTGGTCCTTCCGTCTCACCTTGCCGCAATGAGTCACTCCCCGAACCTACATAGTCTACTCTTATCACCATTTCTTTCAACAACAAGCAATGAAGTCTCTCGTGGTGTAATGGTAACATGCCGCCTTGTCGCGGTGGCGCCCCTGGTTCGATTCCGGGCGAGAGAGATATCTTTTTTTGTTGTCTGTGGAGAACTTGGCGTGCGTTGGATGATGCTTTTTGCCCCCATGATGGCCATGCCACGCCGACCAAGACTTTTTTGCTTTCCTTCCTCCAATCTATTTGTTTTGCCCAAATCTTATCGAATATATTCGTGCTCAATGTAACGTGCCTTGTCCCGAGCTTCTTCTGCTCGACCTCGCCGAACGGAACTCATGGTTGATGTCGCAGCCGGCTCCGAATCCACGGCCCCACCTTCCCCGAACGTAGACCCGCTACGGAGAAGAAGTACTGATGTCGGTATTCAATGCGGTCTTCCCTAGTTCAAGCGTATTCGATGCGGCAAAGAATTATGCAGCTCGCCTCAATTCACTGAAAAAGGTACGTTCCATACCTCCAAGAGGCCGTCCACATGACTGGATGTCAGAACGAGATTCTTAAGGTTCATGATGTAGTCCGTCTTACATCCTCACGTGTGTAAGCTTAATGAGCAAGGATGCTTCTCGTAAGTCAATCACTCAATTATTTGGAGCTATTATCAACAAATACACATGTTTTCTCCTTCAATCCTTGAGAACCGTGATTTCGTAGAGTCACTTAAACCCTAGACTTGTTTGTGACATCCTCCACAACCTCAGCCTGGCCAGTCGCCGTCTTCCGCTCACCAATCGGCTCCATGTCCTCGTGGTGAATAACCTTCTCAACAGCACCGTTGGCCTGCTCAGCAAGAGCCTTGTCCTCAAACACTGGGAGCGAACGGTCAGCCACGTCATCTTCACACTCATCACATACCAAAACTTACAGAAAGCCAGCTCCTCGAGCGTGCGCCCCGCCGTCTCGGGGAACATGAAGTACACAAACACGACCTCGAACGCGAGCCAGCAGCAGTAACTAATCAGGTACCGCCAGCTCGCGTTCTTGATGCCGATGGGGTTGACAAAGGTCGTGAAGAAGCCGGCCATGCGGCCGAAGAGCTGGAAGAAGGAGATGCCGCGCGAGCGCAGCGCGTACGGCCACAGCTCGACGAGGTACGTGTACGTGAGCGCGTTGTAGCCGATGTTGTAGCAGGGCGAGTACATGAAGATGAAGAAGATGGTCGCGATGGAGGCGGACTGGTTCTTGTAGTCGTTGTCGAGGGCGTGCACGGCGCGCTCCATGGAGATGGTCCACGAGATGTAGCAGAGCAGCAGCGAGATGGTGCAGGCGAGGTACATGACGCGGCGGCGGAAGCGGCGCACGAGGAGCGCGACGGTGACGCCGCAGACGAGGGACCAGCAGGCGATGCCGACGTTGATCTTCTGCTTGGTGAGGGAGTCGTTCATGCCGATCATGCCGAGGAGGTCACCTGGATGGGTAGTTAGAAAACAAAACTCTGGGGAGCCGCCACGGGATGTTTTGGAAGGGCAATACCTAGGTAGTATGAGATGAGAGTGTTTCCACTCCACTGAGTGAAGAGGCCGAGCATGGAGGTGATGAGGCAGCGGCGGCGCATGCCGGCGGTGCGGAGGAGGTCCATCCAGGACTGCTTGGAGGCCTCCATCTCAAGGGTGATGACGGTCTTCATCTGGGCGATCTCGGCCTTGACGAACTCGGAGTTGGGGTCGCCCTCGGCGTGGTATTTGACGAGAATCGCGTTGGCTTCTTCGGTGCGGTCCTGAGTGATGAGCCATCGGGGACTTTCGGGGAGGAAGCTGGGGGCGCGCGATGTTAGGTAGTTTCCTCAGCGGGGAGCCGGGAAAGGGATGTGGCTGGCTTACAAGACGAAGCTGATTTGCAGGAGAGAGGGGCAGATCTGAAGCAGGGACGGGATGCGCCACGACCAGTTGCTCGCGATGTTGTTGGTGCCGAAGCAGATGGCCGCTGCTGTGATTTGGCCAACAAAGTAGGCGACGTTGAAGCTGCAGAGCTGTCAGCTGTATTCTGGACGTGTCCGAATATGAAAATGGCTTACAGGGAGGTGAGAACTGGACGTTCCTTGGGGTATCCGAGTTCACCGATCAAGGACGAGCCAGAGACGATACAGGTCGGGATGCCAAAACCGAGAATCATGCGGGCGACGATGTACATGCCGACTGTTGGAGCATCAGCCATCACGATCAGTAAGTGCGGTGCAGATTACACACCATGTTGCGAGAATCCTTGGATCAGAGCTCCCAGGATCATGATACAGCTCCCGCCAAAGATGGACCATCGCCGTCCAAACTTGTCGTTGACGATGGGGATGAAGGGAAGCGAGAGGATCGCTCCGAGCGAGTACGCCGCCGCGATGATGCCCTTCAGACTGCCCTCGGGGTTCCCAAAATCTAGCAGGCACAGTCAGTCTCGGCGATGCTTCCCTAGCTCTCATCCTCCGTGCGACAACTCACAATCCTTCCAGGGCTCGACGATCTGCAGCGCATTGATCATTTGCGAGTCGAAGCCGGACGTCAGCTCGATGCCCATGCACGTCGGGAAGAGCATCAGGTAGAGGTATCGCAGGTTCGGCTTCCGGTACCACGGCACCTTGTCCTCCTCCGAGATGCGGGTCAGGATGGGGTCCGCGGCCCCGGTCTCCTGGGCGCGCTTGATGGCAACCATTGTCGTTGGTCAAGGCCTCGGCAAGGTTTTGGATGTTTTATTTCCGGGGGTCTGAGTCCGAAAAGGCGGACGAGGCGAAGAGGAAGAGAGTATCGCGGACAAGAAAATGGCGAGAGGGAGATGGGCCCGATAGAGAGGTTATATCCGCTCTCATACAAGACGGGAGTATATACTGCCGCGTCCAAGGCCTGGGGTTTGTGCAGGCTACGGATACCGGTGCGCAAGCTTCCTCAATCCAATTTCCAACACCAACGCGTCTTCTCGACGAGGTCCCACCCCGTCTGGCTTTATATGCCATCACACCCGCCAGTGTTACCCCATGCTCGGATTCCCGTCTGACCTGCTTCTCCAAAAGCAGACGCAACGACATTGAGTACCGGGCATGGGTGGTGGTTGGTTGGTGTGTGGTTTAGAATAGTCCCGAGGGAGGGCGTGCTAAGGCGGGAGGACGGGAGTGCAAAGCGAAGCCCAGGTGGTTGAAGGCCCGAAATGAAATTGAACATTGCAAAAAGAGCCGGATGGTGCCAAGAGGCCGGGGTGTTTGCATTTATCCATCCAGTCAGATGGCGGCGCGGTGCATCTCGAGTCTCCATTCACTTGCTTTTTGGACGGGGGAACCAGGGAACGCAAGCGGCGGTCCTCCGACTCCAGGTTTGAAAGGAGCCACTCAGAATAAGACTGCGGGGAAGAAAGGGGGGGAAGCTGTTCTCCCCCACATATGGTTACACGGGTTTCTCCCCCATGGGCAGCGCTCACATGGCCAGATGTTGGATGG